TGTAAGGAGGGACTGGTCCTTGGAGAGGGACATCATGCTTGGGAGGGTGGAGGGACAGCACAGGAGGGGAAGGCCCTCTATGAGGTGGATTGATTCTGTGACTGGGGTATTTGGAATGGGTGTATCGGAGACAGTGCGATTGGCACAGGACAGAGCAGAGTTTAGGGCTGTTGTACATAAGGTCGCTATGAGTCGCAAGCGACTCGATGGCACATAACAACAACAACATTTAAATGTTTATTATTACAAGCCATTGTTTATACTCGAATTTTTAATATAATAAGCCTTATGGTCTTGGTTCATAATTATAACTCGTATTTGAGTAAGACATTCATAACTCAGACATTGTACTATATTTGTTCATATTAAATGACTGAAAATGTAATTCATATGTTATTTAGCTTGCTTTGAAAACTATGTTCTTAAATTCTGAACTGTTTTTATAACTTGTTTCTTTTGTTTTCAAGAGCTCAAATACTTCCCTGAAACTTCGAAGGAAACCTCGGGAAAGTGATTTTGAAACAATTAAATTGATTAGCAATGGAGCCTATGGGTGAGTAACTCAAGGAAGCTCTTTATTGTATTTTAACATAGCTCAGAATAATATATTTTCACATTTATCTTATGTGAAATAGATGTCATGTGCGGAATTTACTTTCCAGACTGCAGCTCCTTAATGGGTGTAATGTGTAGCTGAAGTAATTTCTTAGTAGATGCCCCTCAGAAAACTTACCCCAGGTCCTAGAAAATGTTATTTTAGGGGGTTGTAGATTTTATATACTTTTGATTTTTAGCTCCTTCCCTTTGTCCTTTTGCTTTTTAAAATATGACTCTTGTTAGAGAAAGTTGGAGGTTTTCCTATTTGTGTTTGTGTGTAGGGAGTATTTCTTCCTTAGTGTTGTTGTTGTTGTTGTTATTGTTGATTGCCTTCGAATTGAGCATGACTCATAGGGACCCTATGAACAAAAGACTGGAAGCCCCTCTACAACTATCGACATTTATCAAAGTACATAGTTTCCGAAGGCAAGTCCTTAGAATTACTACTTGTGAATTCATTCTCTGTGTCAAATCCAGCAGTGAACCTTGTATTAAATTTATTTTAACCTTATATCACACTAGGATTTTTCAAATTGAACTCATTACTCATGCTTTTTTAAATAATATCTGACTCTTGTTCGAGAAAGTAGGGTTTTTTTCCTCATTTAAAGCGTGTATGTGTATTTGTGTATGTGTGTAGGGAGTGTTTCTTTCTTAGTGAATCTTTCTTTCTTTGTGAATCCATTCTCTATGTCTAATCCAGCAGTGAACCTTGTATTAAATTTCTTTTAGGCTGTATATCACACCAGGATTTTTTAAATTGAACTCATTAGTCGTGCCTCTTTTATGATTTCTTTTTACTCAGACATGATTTCCTTCGCCTAGCATGGGGCAAATGGTGGCAGGGTTCTCTGAGTTACTAATAAATAGTTTGGAAAGATAATTAATACACAAACTATCTCCTGAGCCATTCCAGACCGTCTGAGAACTCTAGTTTAATTAAGTATTAATCCCAGTTCCATCTGTATATGGAGAGCAATAAACAAGTCCATAGACATTTATTGCCATTTATCACACATATGAGCAGATGAGATAAAAGCTACTTTTGTTGTGCCACAAGGGATGTTTCCCCTTACTATTTTTTTCACCTCTAATATTTTCCACACCATTAACTTAGTGAAGAACTTAAATATTTGCAAGTCCTTTCTGTGCTCCACTGATTTTTCAGAATTATGTCAAACGACATATTTCCTGATGTGGTTTATGAATACTTTCTGATGCTCTGTTTCTGCAGGGTTTGATTTCCTTTACAGGCCTCATTATAAAACTTCTCTTGTGGAGTAAATATTTCTAGCATGCCGTTGCTTGTGATTTTTAGCTATTATTTGGTTTTTAAGTTTTATTTCATTTTGGAAACCCTCAGGGGATTTCTTTTTCTCTGAGGAAGAAAACTAAGCTTGTACTTAGTGACTCCATGGGTTTGAGTGCCCTAGATTTTACTGATGGTGGAATTCTGAAATAAGATTATTTGTGAGTTACCTTTTTTGTGACACAGCCCATAGGGAATTGCACTGCTAGCCCAAATAGTAGTAGTTCAAATCTACTAGCACCTGCATGGGAGAAAGATGAGCGTTCTCGTGAACAGAGGACCAGCTGTGAGTCGGTTAGACTCGATGGTAATGAGTTTGAGGGTTTCCTGACAATAGGACTCCAGGATAAGATTATTTGTGAGGTACCACTTATATGGAACTCGGGTATATATCTTAGCAGTATTTGGAGTTCTAATTGGTTGAGTAAACTCATTTGTAGTGCAATTAAACAACTGTGTACTAGATGAGGTATATCACACTTTGGGGAATGGTTGGGAATATACAAGAAGTTAAACAAGCTGTGAATCAGTAAACACCCAGGAAGCCAGCCAAGTCATTAATGGACTCACAGGCTGCCTGTGCGAGCTTCCGCCATTCAGCCAAAACTTTTTTTCCCTCTTTTGCTCTTCTCTGATTTAATCGCTCATTACATTTCCAACAGATTTCCTCTACATCTTAATTGTTTTTAATTTGAAATTCGAATGGAGCTACACCCATTGGCATACTTGCTCAAGATGCTGAGTGCTGGCGTATGTGAACTGGCTGAACAAGTGGGAACCCTCTGTGGGTGGGTGAACTCAGACTGTTAGAGGTTGTCTCAAAGTGGCAGCAATTTCTTGGAAATTGGTGGTGCTGGCGACTAACCAACCTTCCTGTTAGATAGGGCTTTTATTCGCCATACTCAGCACATGTCATGGTTTTCTCAGTGTCATACTCATGTTATAAGGCCAACTTGCTCATTTGGTAAATGGCAGATGGCTTTTCTGTTTAAAATATTTTGGATCCCTGGCTGGAAGTTCTCTGCATCCCTCTATACCACTTGTTAGCAATCATCAATCCATCCCCTAACTGGTGACAACCCCATGCAAAATAGCCATGCCCACTGTTTGGTTCTGTGACGTCAGTGATCGGTCATGGATCAAACGGTTGTTAATTCATAGGGTTTCGACTGGCTGATTTTTGGAAGTAGATCTCCAGGCCATTCCCCCTAGTCTCTGTTCGTCTAAAAGGTCTGCTGAACACTGTTCCACAGAATAACCACCCACAAGCCTACCCTAAAAGACACTGGGTCAGAATCAAACTCAGGTCTCCCACAAGATTTTATCACTGAACCACCATTGTCCTCACCTTTACAGCACTGAAAACTGTAAAAAGCTAACACATTATTATGTGCCAGGACCTTTGTCACAGTGAAACCTGTGAGAGCAAGAACTAGCTTGTTATTTTTTTCCCTTTGGAAGGGTCTTAATAGAAATTTTTAATTAATTAGAAAATTAAAAATATTACTATTAATAGAAATATTTAAGTTTTCCTCTCCTGGAAGTTTTCTGCCTTCTGCAGTTTCTAGCTATCACAGGTGTGACTATAATTTATTTGGTGTACAGATGTCTCATTTCTTCCAATGAATACTTGCACCTGGATTTTTAAAGAAAGTCTGTATTTCCAATGTAAAATAATAAAAAATTTTAAACTTAAAAATAGCTAAATTTGAAAGACATGCCATTTCTCCCTCACTTTGATCTTCTTTCTTGTTGGGATGCCCATTATTTTCTTTTCTCTCAGTGGAGCAAGGCCATTAGCCTGGTTCCTGTGGGCAAATTCACAGGCCTCTCAGCCTCCAACCCTGTTCTCCCTGCAGCCTGTGCTCCCAGCTGTCCTCCAACACACTCATCCTCACTCCCACATGAAGATTTCTTCACACAGATTCATGTTCTGGGCTCTCAGATTTGTGTTTGATTTTATACGCATTAGGCATTTATGTTCCCAATAGGACTGATTCATTCTGCTCGAGGTCCTGTCAGCTTCTACCTCTCACTGCCCTCCCACACCTCACTTCTGCATGAAAGGAGCACAGCTTCGATCAGAGTCGCCAGCATCCCTGTTCCTGCTCTTGCAGAATCACCTGCCATGAAATGGTTTTCCCATTTCACAGGAGGTCAGTGCAGGAAGAGAGAGTCAGAGGCAGCTCCTCAGGAAAAAAAAAGTAACACTCAGGGTCCAAGAAACAGAAACATGAGGGGCTGTGTTAGCTCTGGCCAGATTTTTAAGCTGGAAAAGTTTTACAGCTCTTCTCAATAGGGTCAGATTCCTAGATGTGCTGTTGTCACTCTCCCCCTTCTTTGCTATCTTAAGTAGATTTGAATCATCTATCACCTCAACAGCAAAGGGGGAAAGATATGAGAGAAAACAGTTATTAGTACAGAAACAAAGTGCCACACAAAGAATAACATTCACACAGGGTACAACATCCTGAAAAGTCCAGAACATAAATAACAAAAACACAGCTACAGCAAATGTGAACACATGCCTTCTGCAACTTGAACAGGATAAGGTACCTAAAGGACTCATTTCCATTGATTGAGGCAAGTGTTCTAAAGGATTGAGTGATTAAGCATATACTAACAAAGAAAAGTACAAGGTCACATCAATTTTATGAACTGAATATTGGAGAATAAAGAGGGAACCCTTTTTTTACATGGTATTACACAGAACACTGTGAGGAAAATTGTAGTCACATTGGTGCTGAGGGCTTGTTGTCTTTGTTCTTGCTCAAAGTCCTATACAACTGTGTTCTTGGTCTACTTCCTATCTTTCTCACATATACTCCTGAAGAATTATTTATGTAGGAAATGGTGATACTGGATTGGAAATCAAAATGAAAACCTCCAGATAGACTAAATAAAAAAATCACAGTGTCAGAGGCCTAAAAGTATTCAGTGTGAATTGTTGATGGAAAATGTGGAAAGGAAGCTGTATTCCAGCTGACTTTCAATAGACAGGTAACTATATGGAGATAGTTTGTATTTTTCTACCATTCCACATTGAGATCTAAATTTACATTTTGAGACTCAAATTTACATTCTAAAAATGGATTTTGTTTTAAAAATGACTGCTTGCCTGGGATATTTGATTATCAAGGCTCACCTTACACTGAAGGGAAGGACAGGGTCTTTTCTATTTGAACTGTCACTTACATCTGATTAGAAGCAGCTCATTTTCTTGTGAATGCTTGCTTTTATTGAATTTGTAATTAGAAAAAAATATAGACAAAGTCTTTAATCTGATAGAGAAAGGAGGAGGAGTTTCTTGGTTTATTAGAGCATTGGTCAAAGTGAGAAATGATCCCCTTTTTTTTTTGAGGGGAAGACATACTTTAAACATTTTTATTTAACATGAATATGTAAATGGGAGCCCTAGTGCCGTAGTCCATACGTGGTTCATAACTAACTGAAAGGCTGCGCCTCCCTGTGGTCCAAATCCTCCCACAGCTGAATAGGAGAAAGATGGGCAATCTCCTTCCATGCAGTTTGCAGCCTTGGTGACCCGTGGAGGGTCAAATATAAGTAACTTCTGACTCAATGACAATAAGAGAAGGACATACATGTAGAAATATGCTGATCCGTTGACGCAATGCCTGGCCTCTTTATGACACCATTTAAACTACACTTCTGTAGTTCCTTATAGGTGAGGCAAGGAAAAGAAGCAATCAGAAGACTGTAAACATTCTGCAAATTTACAGATTTTTATAGTTTTGCCAACTTTAAAGAATTTCCTCAGCCACACTAAATCAATAGGCATTTTATTTAATAACTCACTTGTATGGTTTACAATTGGTTTCCCATTCTCAGAAAAGCAGTAATTAAAGGAATTTTTGAAAACAGGACCAGCTTTACAAGGAATAAAGGGAGTTCTTCACCCAGAGACAGCATGGAAAAATAGGTGAAACAAAGAAATCAGCAATACCACGAGTAACAGAGAAGCAAAATGACAGCAATAAAACCAGGCTTATCAATAATTACCAGGGATGTAAATAGATTAAATGCACCAGTCAAGAGAATACATACATATGTAAACCACTATGCTTTTTCACACTCATGTTTCATCGTTTAACTATTTGTTTAAGTTAATCAGTTGTCATGTCCAATCTAGCCAACATAAATGGGTGTGGGAATTAAACTCAGCTATCCTGAATGGTGCAGCTACTTGCTAGCCAGCAGGTTGCCAGTTCAAGACTATCCAGAGGTGCCTGAGAAGACAGAGCTGCTGTGGAGCAGTTCTACTCTATACATGACGGATCATGATGACTTGAAGTCAACTCAGTGGCTACTAACAGTGACAGTGAGAACAGTAGTGTTTGGGCACCAGAGAGAAGACTGCCAGTCATACATGCTGAAAGCCTTGTGGTTAAGACTAGACAGCTCACTGTTAGAAAATATATTGAGAATTAGAGCACCGAGTTGTTCAGTGAGTTGTGTATGTGATGTATGGCTAAGCCAAAGAAATGGGAAGAAAACCAACAGAGGAATTGGTCCCCGAAACCAAGCCTGTTGCTGGGGAGTTAGTTCTGACCCTTTACTACCCTCCCTAGTATTTCCAAAGCCTTATGTCTTTATAGGAGAAGGTTCCCCATCAATCTCACAGAATGGCTTGACAGATGTGAACTACTGACCTTTGGGGTTGCAGCCCAGGTGCATTACATAATATGACACCAAACCTCCTAAATAGTTATTTTGTAAGTGAAGGAAAAATGAGGGGTGCACCTACTTGAAAAAGACAGTGATTTTAAAAAAAATAAGAAGAAAGAAAGACAATGATACATGTACTTGAAGAACTAATCACTAGCTGAACACATTCAGGGAAAAAAATAAATATTGAGTTTACTTGAAATTTATGTAAATAGATCACCCTGATAAATTGGCTCTGTGGGAGCATAGCAGACCCTAGTGCCCCTTGGATAAGGGATTGGTTTCTTTTTCAGGGATAGTGAGTATAATTAATGAAAAAAACACCAATCAGACAACCCCTTAAGATTCTAGGAGGTAGGCTACTAGACATGCTTCTAGAGGAGTGATAGCTCGAACTGTTACATGTTTGATCACAAATCCTCAGATTCTAACTTAGTTTCCCATTATAATGGCAAATGAAAAGTGATTTTTTGAGAATGGGGTTAATTTGAGTCATTTTTCTTGTTGCTCATCCCTTTGAGACCAGGTAAAGACTCCTCCTTGGAATCCTCACATAATTAGTCACTCCTGCTTCCCTCCCCCACCCATCTACAGAATTCCACACCCTGGGAATTTGTGTGCCGCAAGCGACTCGATGGCACATAACTAAGAACAACAACAGGAATCTGTTGTCTCTACTCAGCCAGAAGTGATTCTGTGGAGTATTTGGGTGGGTGTTAGGCACAGACTCAGTGCAGCCTGGTTATTACAGTAGCTACAGAAATGCATTTAAAACAGGAATCAGTGTATCAGATGCTGAAGTCCTTCCATAGTGAGGAAATATACCATTTTATATTGCTGTTGTTGAAAGACAGTTTCATATAACCTGTGACACACTTCTCATTGATCTGGAAATTTTATGGAAAGTACATTGTTCTCCATTAGGAAACCAGGTACTCTTAAGCTCTAAAGGCATCCACCCTATAGAAAACTTATTTCAGTTATTTGAGGAAAAAGTATCTAATGTACATTTTGAGCTAGAAAAGATTCAGCTCATGTTGTGTAAGTAATTTGTTAATATTGTCCTCTTTGGGCAAATATTGAACTTTGCTTTTTGGTAGAAAATCCCAAACAAATATCAAGCAACTGTTGGAAAATAATTCCCTCTGGAGACCCACATTGCTTTTCTTCAGTGGTACAGATGAATCAATGCTTTCAAAATGATCTGGACCTTGACTGAAAGAATGTTGTTGTTGGTAGCCACCATTGATGTGGCCTCCGGCTCCTGATGTATCCAAGGGACAGAAGTCACGTTGTGACCCACAGAGTTCTCATTGACTGATTCTGGAAGCAGGTTGTCAGGCCCTTGCTCCTAAAAGTACATTGGCTGAAGAAGCAGTCCTCTGAGTAGAATCTGAGAATACTCCCACTAAACCACTATTGCCCCATTGAAAGGCTACCACTTTCCATCCCCCCTTACACAAACACAGAAAAGTAATTCTGTCCAAATTTGGCTTGAAACGGGTTCCTTGTACCTGTTAGCCCTGCTTTTATGAATGGAATACCAGTTGCCATAAAAACTTAAAAGAGCTTGACCACATGGCTTAGTGAATTCCCAGGATCATATTCAGTCTCTCCCCACCCCCACCCCCCATGAACACCAATGTTTGTGCTCCTTTTCAGGGCAGTCTACTTTGTTCGACATAAGGAATCCCGGCAGAGGTTTGCCATGAAGAAGATAAACAAGCAGAACCTCATCCTCCGAAACCAGATCCAGCAGGCCTTTGTAGAACGGGATATCCTGACATTTGCAGAAAACCCCTTTGTTGTCAGCATGTATTGTTCCTTTGAAACGAGACGCCACTTGTGCATGGTCATGGAATATGTGGAAGGTAAGGCAGCTCTGATGCCAGACATCCAACACCTGTACCCAGAAGCTTCTTGCTTGCTTTGTGTGGTTGAATTTTTTTGTATTTGTGCCACAGGATGGCTGTATCCACCCAGGAGCTGAAGCCAGGCAATGAGATGGCTGTCTTCCCACTCATTATCTTCTGATAATTGCTTGTAAAGTGCCTACTCCACAATAACAAAGGGAAAATTAGTGCTATTTGGGAAAAGGTTGTTTTTCTTTTTTTAATAGCTTTTAATCCTCACTACCTCCTCTCAGATTGGCCATTAAAGTTGGAATATAGGTGATGGGATTTTCCTACGTGGTTTATCACGTATCATAAAAGCATTCATTACAATTGGTTTCCTTTAAGAATGCAGCAATAAAAATATATCCTTGTTGGTCTATAACATTATAGTGCAGGACTGAAAATTGGTTAGGAAAAACTGGTACATTCAAGAATATCCCACCAGCCAGTCATTCCAATTTTCTTTCCCAATTTTCCTAGTTTGTTTTGAAACCTTATTCTTAAGGTTTGTAGTCAATCTTCTATACGCTCCAAGTAATCTTACTCCTGTTAATGTTACATTAGATTTCTAAGTGTTTGAGTGACCATGACTTGTTGACATAATTGAGGTTAATAAAATAATTAGTAAAGGTCAAAATAATTTTAAAGTATCTAATATAAGCTCTTTCTCTTGAATGGAATCCAACAACAACAAACTGGAAGAAACACAAACGACCATTTACCACCACCTTTTCATTCTTTCACATGGATGACCTGAAGCCCTAGACGGGGAAGCGTACTACACATTCAGTTGCAGATCCAAGACAAAAAAATAGTTTACTTGCTTCACATCCGTTTTTTCCCCTTTCAAATACACAAGTGCTTTGCTTCATTACAGCCTTTAGTTGTAGTAATTTTAGTAGCCATAATAACGAACCTAACCTGTGCCATGTGCATAATATATGTTAGATGATGCCTTAAGTTCTTTCTATAGATTATTCAGTTAATTTTTGCAGAATTCCCAAAGGGGTTGGTAACAGTTCCTCTCTTGAAGGTACAGATAAAGGAACTAACATACAGCAAGATGAAGTCATTATCCTCAGATCGCTCCGCCAGAAAGTAGCAGAGGGAGTACTCGAACAGCATTCCCAAGCTGTATACTGTGATATTTTAAGTTGGCACTGTGTTCCTAAAATTGTGCTGGACATTCTTCAAAGTGCATTTCCATTGCATTTCTGTTCTTTTTGAGGCCTGCCTCCATAAAAATCTGCATTTTCTCCACATCACATCTAAATTAAAAAATAATTTTGCCTTCAAACATAATCCACTATGGCTCTACTGTGCTGTATCTGTGCTTACGAATGATTTTACTTTGCAGCCTAAAGGGATGAACGTCCGTAATTCTGGCTGAGGAAGTCTTGTGAAGCTTTCCCTTTTGTTTTGTAGGAGGAGACTGTGCAACCTTGATGAAAAACATGGGTCCTCTCCCTGTTGATATGGCGAGGATGTACTTTGCCGAGACTGTCCTGGCCTTGGAATATCTACATAATTATGGAATTGTACATAGAGATTTAAAACCAGACAAGTATGTATATGGATAAAACATAGAAGCCTTTATTTAAAAAAAAAATACACAATACAGAAGCTTTCTATGCCTCAAAAAGGTTTCCTGTTAATGTTGCTTTGCTATTTTTAAGTTTTCCTATCATGACCGAAATGTACTATTTTAACAGTATACACATGCACGCGTAAAGACAGAGAGAGTGAAGAGAGGCAATGAGACATCTGATCATAACATGAAAAGCAGGAGAAAAATATAAATACAAATCCATATTTGATTTCTTTAGAAATTGTTGTTGTTCTTATGTGCCCTCGAGTCACCTGCAATTCATAGCAACCCTATATACAACAGCCCTAAACCCTGCTCTATTCTATGCCAATCTTATTGTTTCTATCACATGTACCCCCATTACCCCAGTCACTGAATCAATCCATCTCATTGAGAGTCTTCCTCTCTTGTGCTATCTCTCCACCCTCCCAAGCATGATGTACCTGTCCAAAGGCTGGTCCCGCCTTGAAACATGTCCAGGCGAAGCTTCAGAATCCTTGCCTCCAAGGAGCAGCCTGGTCTCACCCTTCTAGGACAAACTTGTTTGTTCTCCTAGCAGTCATTAATCCAGCACCACAGCTCAAAGGCATCAATTCTCCTTCTGTGATTCCTAGCCATTGTCCAGCTTTCTGATGCATAACAAGTAATTGCAAAGACTATGGCCCTGGATTAGATGCACCTCAGACTGACATCGTTGCTCTTCAGTACTTTGGAGAGTTCTCTGACTGCAGACTTTCCCAGTGCAATTTTTGTTATAAGTTGGGGTTTTTTAATTATTCCTACATGAAATACCATTAGTTGTTTTCTACATTATTTATTTTCTACATTTTTCACCATACTTAGATTGTCCTTTTTAATGTAAGGATAATACACTTGCTAATTATGTTCCACTTTGCTTCCATCTTAAATCTTATTCAACGTTTAATCTATTAAAAAGTGAGTCCGTTTTAGATACTCTGTTTTCCCCAAGTGCCTAGACATTTATTATATCATTTATTAAATATTTCCTATTTTATTCCCTAATTCAAGATGCCTTGTCCCACTTTAAGTGTTAATAAATAAAAATGTTAAGTGTCTTGAAAATTTTATGATGAATTTTGCTTATGACCAATATAGATAATTGGGAAAGTAGGGAGAAATACAAGAAGTAAAAAAGTTTTAATTGCAATATGGCCACCAAAGGCAACCACTTGCTTTTCTTTTTTCCTCTAATCTTTCTTAAAAATTTAAATGAATATATTACATATACTGTTAAAGGAGCCGTCATGACATTGAGTGTTGCCTATAGGGCTGCTAATCAAAAGGTCAGTGGTTTGAGCTACCAGGTACCCTCTGTGAAAGAGAAATGGCCAATCTCTTTGGTAAAGAGATCCTTAGAAGCCAAATGGAGGATCACAGTGAGTCAGAATTGACTCAGTGGCAGTGCATTTAGGTTGTTTGGGGAAGATTATTTAAAGTTTTATCATCTAAATGAAATTTATTAAATCTGTAAATTCATAAAACTGTTGGTTATGAGTTCTTTGTGTTTAGGAAATATTGCTTATCTGCTTCATATGTCAAAATTTAAATTAAAGCTAGTCATTGAAGGCTCGGCTTCCTTGGTCATCTCAGTGCCTGTTGTGTGTCATGGATTTATTGGTGGCATTTTCTTTTTTATTTTGAAAACAAAGGGAGTCAGAGTTTTGTATGTTAATTTTTCAAAGCATTGCACAGTTTTGTAAACAAGATGGTTGTGGCTGTTCAAGCACAAGTAAGCTAAGCCTAGATGCCGGCCCTTCTTGCAGCTATTAGATACAAGTATCTGACGTCTTTTTATGACTTCATCTCTCTCCATACTGAGGTAGTGAAAAGGTTGATGTCGATATTTGAATTATTCTTATAAACTGACTCTGAGAGGGTGGGTGGGATACTTGTGAAACATCCAGCGCCTGCAGTGTGACTATTGTCGTGTGTGTTGTTCTGATTCATAGTTTGTTGGTAACCTCCATGGGGCATATAAAGCTGACAGATTTTGGATTATCCAAGGTGGGACTGATGAGCATGACAACTAATCTGTATGAAGGCCATATTGAGAAAGATGCCCGGGAATTCCTGGATAAGCAGGTAAGCCTGGATGCTTCCTGAATCAACTTGTCTAGAGCGTCTCCACATTAGTTCTGATGGTTCAGATGTCTATATACACCTTACCTTTAATAAAGTACAAATTGCTCCCATTTTTCTCCCTGGGCCTCTTTGAACTGCCCACTCTGTCTACATCCCTCCCCCAACATTATGGTCTATTAGCAAGACAAACGATCTAATTGCACACAAGTGAGAGTGTGAGAGAGACAAATGGAAATCTGTTTTTGTAAGGAATTCAGTAGTCTCAGTAGAGTACTCATGAAACTCGTGATGCATTGTACAATCACGGGTGCTAAAATCCCAGCTATGGCCCATTTCCCTTTAAGCATGCCTCATTACCATGTGCCCACAATCTGTTCATTGTAAAGTTACTTAAGGTAAACCCATCTCAACTGTCATGGTTTTATGAAATAGCTGGGTGTGAAAATAGTTGGGGCATATAAATACTAAAACATCACTGATAGTGACAAATAAGAAAAAAAGAATGCATTCTTATTTTAGATTTAAAGTTCAAGTAAATTTTTAATACATTAAGATGGGTGAAACTGCTAAGCAGGGTCAAAGGCTTCATTTGATATTAAACATTACACATAAGTCAACATTAGAGCCAAGTTTAAAAATGCCTGTCTTTGATATTTAAGTAACTCATGGCCTTTGGTATTAGAGATAGCTGCTTAGAGTTACTATTTCTAAATTCTTTATTCTTATGGTTCCATGTGGTTGAGCAGGTGCACTCTGGGCAGAATAATTGGTATTTAGCTCTCTTGCTTATTCTAATTTCTGCCTAATATTCCAATTATTCTAATATTTCAATCATCTTTTAGGTCTGTGGCACACCTGAGTACATTGCACCGGAGGTGATTCTAAGGCAGGGCTACGGGAAGCCAGTGGACTGGTGGGCCATGGGGATTATCCTGTATGAATTTCTAGTTGGATGCGTGCCTTTCTTTGGGGACACTCCAGAGGAGCTATTTGGACAAGTCATCAGTGGTAAATATCATCGGGAGTTACCTGTTGATAAGCGGCTATTTATCGTAAATTTGTAGACTGTCCCTGTTTGGACTATGAAAACGTTAACCTTTATGAAGCAGTTGAGTCCGCACATTAAAAGAACGTGCTCATAGCACACAGCTGACTTCAACAATCTCAAGAGGGTCATTTGTGGTGAAAATGGATCGGATGAAAGTTTGCTAGCGAAAGATTTGGAAATGTACTAGCAACACAACCAATTTTATGGAGTGTTTTTTTCTGGAGAAGAAATTGATGTGGGATTTACAAATTATTCCAATATGCCATCTTGTCTTCCTTTCCATGATAGAGAAGTTACACCAGGGAAGAAAAGGTTAATGTGTGTAACATTTACATAAATGGGGGAAATGGCTAATAGCACGATGAAGAAATTTTTAAAAATGCAATAAACTGTAAAACAAATGTCTGCCAAATAATAAATAATGAGGATGGGAAGGAAGCAAATTTAATCCACAGATTGTTAATGATTTCATTGGTAGTTGTTATGGTGTAATGTTATTTCTGTAACAGCTGTTCATCTTTCATTTAGAATTCAATAACCTTTAGATCTTAACCTGCAAGCTGACCCTAACCATTGTTGTGCAGCTTGTGGCAAAACTAAATGAAAATTAAATAGACTCAATCACTGTCCTACGTGCTGTTTTTATAAATTTCCCAGAAGCATAGATGAAAAGGACTCTATTCCTGAAAGGTTGTCAGTCCTTAGTGACATCTTCATCAGCTACTTCTTGACTGTTTTTGTAAAGTCCAGCAGTAAATAAATAAAAAGGAGGGAGGTGAAATATATGTTACTTTTGCTTTTGAGAAAGCACCAATCATGTCATTCTCTATCCCTGGCTTTACAAGCCAGGGCATATTTGTAAACTTTAATGAAGCAGATTTGCGAGTTGCCTGCAGTATATAACCCTTTACACAATATCAGAGCTGTTTATGGATTTATAACTAGGCTGGTTTCTGATATACTACGGCCTGAATGGCAAAGGGAATCAACTGTTTAATTAACACAAGCAGCAAATGCTGGCTTTGTTCTTGATGCCTTACGGCTCTGATGCATATTCATGTTTTATTTTCCAAATCAGATTTAAACTGCAGCAGAGGAAGCTAGAGGCAGGCACATACAGAAATAACTCATGTTTTTATTGCATTTCCATACACAGAAGCATGCACACCTATCTTGAGGCAAACTCCTTTAGAATGTGGTGGAACATAGTCTAATATTTATGACAGATTTTAAATACGTCCATTAAGATGATGACTTTGAATCCTTTTCTTATTCAGATTAACATTCTGACCTTTCCTTTGTTTCTGGAAATATTTGTTTTATAAAATTATTAATTTTTTTCTTTTGCTTCTTCATGTAAAGTATTTCTTTAACTGTGGCCAGATGTTCAGTTGTGCATTGTAAGAGATAGTCTTGGACTCTCAGATTCCTGGATAATGGATCACCAGAAACACAGTGTTTAGAGTCTTAGTTGCATTAAGTTCTCTTCATAACCAGAAGAAGGGGAAAGTGGTGGGACTCAGCTTTTAAAAATTAAAGAGCAAGTGAAATTGAAATACTAACTGCTGAAAGTTCTCTCCTTGCCTTTTTGAAAGCTTTCCTACCTGTGTCATTTGAAACCATGCCTCTCAAACTGGGTTGCATCATAGGAACCAGTTGGATAGCTTGTTAACATTTTCATTCTGGTTCAGTGGGTGTGGGTGGGCTCCGAAATTGTGCATTCTAATAAGCTCCCAGGTGATGACGATGCTGTTTGTCATAGACCACCTTTGCATCATTAAGGTTGTAAAACCACTTTTCTTCTTTCTAGATGAGATCAACTGGCCTGAAAAAGATGAGGCTCCACCACCCACCGCCCAGGATCTGATTACTGTGCTTCTCAGGCAGAATCCCCTGGAGAGGCTGGGGACAGGTTAGAGCACAGTGTTTTAATTTTGCTAATATGCAAGAAATAGCATCTATGTGAAGCGTGCTGATGCTTTTGTTTGCGTCTTGTTTTTGCACAAGAAACATCTGTTAGCTGATGTAGAACATGACTGTAACACATTACATCATTTATTTTTTTTTTCCTGTAGAGGAGTATCTATATCAAGAGTTTGTTGTTCTTTTTTTTTTTTTTCCTCTACCCCTACCCTCCACCCCGGTTCTGAAAGGAGAAGTTATTCTTAATTTATCTCAATAAGTAAAATTCCTCTGGAATAAAGCCTCAAGAGCATTTATTCATCTTCTATCCTGAAAAGCATACATCTTAAATGATTTGAAATAATGACTAAAGATGAATGGTCTTTAAATATTTATCTGTACATAGTTCCATAAGGTTTTAACTCCACGAGTTACTACTCAGAGGCTATGACATAGATTATTACTATTCTAACTAGTTACTAGAAATGAGTACCTAGGATTCAACTCTGCTGTTTTACTAGGTTGACTAGTGTTTTAGTCTAAGAAAATTAATTAGAAACCAATGCCTTTCAAAAGGAAGGAGATAGTAGATTTCTTTCTTGCTGACTTTTCTTCCTGGTAATTATGTTACCAGGTTTTTTGTATCTTTTCTTCCCTTCTCCCCCCAGCCACCACCAGTTTTTAATATACTGAGTGGAAAGCTAGAGTACTTCTCTGTAGAGGCATAGTCTGCCCATGATATAAATTTATCTCAATGAGACTTAAGTATAAACACATATGTATATGTATGTATGCATATATATGTGTGTGTGTATGTATGTACACACACCCATATACTCTAGCAAGTTGGTGCAAACACTTATATGCTCAGCTGTTATCTAAAGTTGGGAAGTTCAAATCCAACCAGTATTACTTTGGAAGAAAGTTCTGGCAATCTGCCTCTGAGATATGTGGTCATTGAAACCCTCCAGATCGTATCTGTGGTATTTACAGTTTATATCAATGTTTTTGATTCCTTAATGGGAGTCAGTGAGACTGGCTCAGGGCAGGGCAGGCTTCAGAGCTGTTGCACATAGGGGTCATTGTGAGTCACAGGCAACCTGATAGCACATAACAACAACAGTGGGAGCTCTGCTGGCCTAGTGGTAAGAAGCTGCGTTGCAATCTCAAAGACATATCGTTTGAATACACCAGCTGCTCTGCCAGAGAAAGATAGGCAGTCTCTTTCCATGCAATTAACTGTCTCTGAAAACCCATTGGAGAGTTAGCTATGGGTTGGTTCTGACTCAACAGTGCACAGCAGCAACAACAATAGTTGTTTACTTTGAGCTATTTCCCAGTTTAATAGAAATGTCAGAAAACATTTTTTTCCCATGGAAAACAAAGGACATTAACAACAATTCTAAATATTTATCTGATGATCTTATTTGCTCACAGATATCCTGTGGAAGGGTGATGATTTTGCTTACATATGGGGTACTGACTTTATGATGACAATTTTATGGTGATGCTTTAGAGCAGGAGTCAGCATCCCTCTTGCAGTAGGCTGAATCTAGCTCAGTGCCTATTTTTATAAATAAAGTTTTATTGAAACACAACAAAGCCACTCATTTATATATAGCTTATAGATGCTTTTATGCTGCAGTGGCTAAGTAGAGTAGCATAACAGACTGTGTGGCTTATAAAACTAAAATGATTACTACCTGGCCTTTTATAGAATTTTTCCAGTTCTTCTTCAGCTTCATGGGAGTCTGTAATAAAAAAATGATATATGCTTTCCAAGATTAGGTGCTCCCATAAGCATCTAATGAGCATAAGATCAATGTTCCCTTGAGAAAACTTCATTGAGTTGACCTTTTCTGCTCTTTTCTGTGGATGTGAGTGAGTCTTGAGCTCTGAAAGTCATGATAATATTGAAATTAAGAGCACTAACTCGGGACTCTATTTGCCTGATTTTAGATCTCACCTCTACTATTAAGGTTTAGGGTATTTCCCTTTCTATATCTGCTTTTTCTAACTGCACAAGGGAGCTTTTAGTCCTTCCTCACAGGGCTGTTGTGAGGATCAAGTTAATTCATCCATGTAAGGTACTTAGACCAAGGCCTGGCACTGCAGCTGCTGCTTGTGTTTTTAATTTGCTGCATATTTAATCTGTGCTTTCTCTTTTAAACACATGGAATATACAAACAACGGTGGCCCTCTACCTTTGAGCAGATTGAACTCTTTCTGCAGAGCTCTTTATGTTTCTTCCCACCCTATTTGATTTTCCTCTTGTCTAAAATGACTAGCAAACTTGTTATTCCTCACCCTCTGTGGCCTGCGGTCAGATTTGCTTTATAGTTCAAAAAATACATGTAGCTGTCAAATAATTTTGTGTCAGGACTGTATATGAGCTGAATTTTGAGGTGTGATTTTTACTCACTTGTCCTGAAATAATACAAATATACATTTATTAAACTATCCCAGAAAATGACACCACAGCATTATCGAATGATGTGACTAGAAATATATTGGAATGCACCTACTCCTTCAAACCTAAATCCACCAACAACTCATGGCAGCCCTGCATCAGGCTTCCAGGGCTGGAAACTATAACCACAGCAGACTTCTTCACCACCTTTCTCCCATAAAGCAACTGGTGGATTCAAACCAATAACCGACCTTTCGGTTATCAGCCTAACCCATAACTCCCTATGCCACTGGAGCTCCTTCTTTAGAGACTCAAAGATACCCTTCCCTACATTGTTCAAATGTCTTTTGGGAGAATTTTTCCTGTTAATATTCTGTGTATGGTATCCTCCTTCAGATGCTTGGATTCTGGACTGGGCTTGATTTAGTAAGACAAGACTCTGACGGTTGATATGTATGGTGCATATCCATGCAACCATACATATCATATGCTGCAAGTCATTCCTCTGCACATTTTCTCCTTTTTGGTATTTTCAGAGATTGACAGTTTGAGGAGCTAATCCCTTAGGAGAAGCCCCAAAAAAGGCATTTTAAAGACCCTACTTATTCTCTCAGCATTTTTAAGAAATGATTGCCAGTCAGGCCCAATGTGACAGGTCCACGTAGAGCCTTTAGAACGCAGCTAAGAATCCTGAAGCCCTGCTATGCTGCCTTCAGTGACAGCATTTTGTACTTAATGCATATTTAGAGAACAGAATAATGCACCGTGAAAATGTGCGAATGCACATTTGCCTGAGAGACTAGAGAAGCTGAGAGAAAGGGTGTGAAGAACATAATGGTTGTTTAAGAAACTTCCATGAAAGGAGAGAAAAACTCAGGGGAGAACGTTGGTGCCAAAGCATAACTTGCAATATGTGTTCTTGTCCTTGAACTATGCTTTTGAACTTTGAGAGTATTGAGTGGCAGTCTGGCTCATTGGACTTGCGAGCTGCTCAGATGTGGCTGCCACCCATGTACCAGCTGGGAGGCCTGGAGTAGTCTTCTCATTCCCCAAGTCTCAGTTTCTTACAGTCTCGGTTTTTCCCAGGACTACCATGACAAAATAACACAAAGTGGGTGGCTTTAAAGAACAGAAATTTATTTTCTTGGTTTTTAGTTTTAGAGGGACTGAAATCTGGATTCAGAGCATTAGCAAGACCACGCTCTTTCTGTGACTGCTCGCCTTAGAGCTACATCTGTGTATGGCCTCACCCCCATATGGCTTTCTGTATCTGTGCTCCCCTTTTAGAAGACACTTCTTAGGAATGAATGGGGCATAGGCTCACTTTACTCTCCTATGACTTAACTGGCAATAGCTTCAAAGGAAGACCCTGTTTCTCCAAACACTATTCAAATCCCAGGTGCAAGGGTTGGGTAACTTTACCATACTTTTTGGGTTGTTGTTGTTGTTGTTGTTATGTGCCGTCGTTGGGTTAATGTAACTTAATCTATGACACCTATTCTATGAATGTGTGTTGTGCACATCACACGGGGCTCTTATGAGGATTAAATGCAAAAACATCTATGAAGGAAGAAGCTGCTCTGCAATCCCAGAGGTGCACGGTTCTAATCTTACCAGCTGCTCCACGGGAGAAGGATGGACAGTCTCCTCCCATGTGATTAACTGCCTCTGAAAACCCACTGGAGGGGCAGCTATGGGTCGGTTCCGACTCCACGCTATACAACAATAATAACAGTACGTAGTAGAATCTCAATTTCCCCCACCTCTTTCACTGTGCATTTTATAATGAGAGTTTTCATTTATACGATTCTTTCTCTGAAAATGTTATGTGATTCAGTGTCATTTATATTTTAAATTATTTTAGTCCAGAGGAAATTTTTTTTGTTTCTTCTTTTGAGTCTTCCCATTCCACATCTGTCTCTAAAAGTGCATGTAAAATGGCACCCAGAGATGTCCAACCTCTTCTCGGTGCAGTGCAAAGCCCAAAGGATAAGAAGCGTGAATTGAATCAGCAGTGGGCCATGACTCTTTGAGGAGGACACATTTGTCACTCCCCACAGAGATGAAGTGAAGACTGTCATCAGTTTGGATTCCAAAGGGTAGCAGTGAGGGCTGTGAAAAACCTGACACTGGATATGGCTTGGAATGTCATTTGAGCCCTTGGCCCTCGGCTCAGGGCTAAACTGAGCTTTTCTGGGTAAAGTTGAGCAACCCTAGAGCGTCAGAGCTATGTCTTTGAGTGACCCCATGAGCAGCAGCTGTGGTGTCAGTCATGGTGGTACAGTGGGGCCCTCGCTAGACTGAGTCCAGACACATTATGTGTGGGCCACTAGTGAAGGCCTGACTCTTGATTTCAGTGCTGTAAGTCCCAGTGAGGGAGCTAGCGAGACAGTCATGTCCTTTCAGCTTCATGATCAGCATTTCCAAGGAAAAGTGCTCTGGAAGACAATGCCATTGGAGACTTTGACAGACTGGAGCTAGACCATGTATATGTAGGTACTGTGAACACAATAGGAATTAAGTGATATGTTCAGGTCCTGAGTATTAGCGGTTGTGAATCCAAAATGGATAGCACAGTAAGGTTCCAACCGAAAAGTTCTTTCCTCATCTTGCATGAGGTGCTGTGGTACCATACTCATTTATCAGTTTGGTTGTCTTGTCGCTTGCATGAGCTATGACACGCAAAGCTGTATCGCTGATATTTCAAACTTCCACAGGGTCACCCACAATGGCCAGGTTTCAGTGCAGCTTCCAGACTAAGACTAGGAAAAAAGGCCTGCTGATATCATTTCTTAAAAAAGAAAACCTTATGAAGAGCTGCAGATCATTGCCTGACGCAATACCACCAAATGAACCCCTCATGTCTGTTCATAGGGTCAATATGAATCCTACTCTGGTCTGTTCATAGGGTCTCTATGAGCCCTACTCAACTCAGTGGCACCTGACAACATGCACATAGATCCTAATTGATCCACATGTCTTCAGGGTGGCAGTGCAGCTCCTAACCCCCAGGCCACCAGAGCTCCCTAGAAGGAATATGCAGGAATCAAATTAACTACATCTGTGGAAAGAGTAGATGAAGATGCTCTATTTCAGAGCAATGAAGTCAGGAGCCAAGTAAGAAACAGATCATCAATTCCTCAATTACAGTTTCAAGTTGAAGCTGAAGAAAATGAAAACAAGCTCAAGAGAGTCAAAGTACCCCCCACCTGAATTTAGAGATCAGCTCAAGAATAGAATTGAAGCACTGAATACTGATGATAGGAGAACAGATAAAAATCCAGGAAATCCAGGACATCATGTGTAAAGCCAAACATGATTAAAAAGATAGTAAAGACAAGACCAAAATAGTTTCCAAAACCTCCGAAACTTGCTCTTGAAAGCCAAATCAAATTAAGAGCTGACACAGAATATTTCAAAGAGCTTCTTGAGAAGACAAAGTATTTAAAAAGTACGCAAAGTCATGGGGTTAGAAAATCAAAAGAGGAGAATATATGTAGCATTTCTTAAGCTAAAAGAACTGAAGGAAAACCCCTCAAGCTTTGAGCTGAAATATTAAAGGAGTCTAATGCAAAATATCCAACAGTGCAGGAAGCATCAAGGGAATGTGGAAAGGGACACACAGTAACGGTACCAAAAATGGTTAATATTCATCTCTTTAAGGAAGTAATATATGATTAAGGTCTGATGGTTTTTAAGAAAGAAATCCAAGCTGCACAGAAGGCATTAGTGAAAACAAGGCTCCTGAAATTGACGGAATACAAGTTGACATGTTTCAAAAACAAATGCAATGCTGAAAGTGCTCATTCATCTGTACCAAGAAATTTGGAGTACAAGTGCCTGGCAAATGAATGCAAGAGGTCCATAATTGTATTCATTGCAAAGAAAGGTGATTTTAAAAAAAATTCAGTCTTTACCTTATTTTATCATTAATGTAATGTAAAGATTTGCTGAAGAACTTCCAGAGATTTAAGCCAGATTCCGAAGAGTACATAGAAGGAGTGATGTTATTCTTGATATGAAGTTGATCATGATTGAAAACAGAGAGTACTAGAAAGATATTTACTTGTGATTTATTTATGGTGCAAAGGCATTTGACTATGTGGATCACAACAAATAACAACAACATTGCAAAGGTTGAAAATTCCAGAACACTTGATTGTGCTCCTGTGGAACCTATACATGTATCAAAAGGTAGTTCTTAAAACAGAATAAAGGTTATTGTGGAGTTTATATTAAAAAAGGTGTGCATCAAAGTTGTTTCCTCCCATCACTCTAATTTCAGCTTTATGATGAGTACATAGTCTGAGAAACTATACTTACACAGAAAAACATGGCATTAAGATTTTTTGAAGACTCCTCACTTTGCTTACTGAAAATAAAAAGGTAACAACTAAGGAAGATCAAAGCATACAGCCTTCAGGGTGGATTAGACCTTAATATGTTGTGTGCAGCCAAGTTGGAACAGATTCACAGCTGACCCTCCAGAAGGTTTTCAGAGGCAGTCAAAAAGAAAACAAAAAAAATCTCACAACTGAACAAGAAACAGCATCATGATTAATGGAGAAAAGTTGTCAAGGATTTCGTTTACCTTGGATTTATAATCAGCACCCATGGAATCTGCAATCATGAAATCACTCAATATATTGTACTGGGGAATCTGCTGTTAAGGACCTCTTTAAAGTGTTAATGTGCAAGGATGTCACTTTGAAGACTAAGATATACTGGACCCAAGCCATGTTTTGTTTCATATACACGTGAAAGCTGCATGGTGACTAAGGAAGACTGAAGAATTGACACACTGGCATTATGGTTTTAGTAAGGAATATTAAATGTGGTGTTAACTGCCTGACAAAAGAATGGATACATCTGTTGCAGAAGAAATATAGTCAGAATGCTGTTTGGAAGCAATAATGGCAAGCCTTTGTCTCATGTATGTTTGACATATTTTAGGAGGGACAAACACCTGTAAAAGGGCATCATGCTTGCTGAGGTAGAGGCCAAGACAAAAAGAGGAAGACCCTTTAAACGGTGATTGACACAGTGGGCTCAAATATGGCAGCAGTTCCGAGAATGGCTCAGGACATGAACACTGTGGCGGTGTTTCCTTCCATTGTACATGTGAGTCAGAGCTGACTGCATGGTACCTATCAACAGCCATGGCACTGGAGGAATTAGCATTTAGTGCAATACTTGTTGCAAAATTTGTATTCACATTCCAGCCTGGTGATAGTATTCACATCAGACTTCAGTATTATGATGTGAACACAGAAAATTGCCCTGATAGGATCCTAGCAGGGAAAGGATGAGATGAGTTCCTCACTTTGCCCTTTTCCTCCACTCCATTGTTTTCAAAGTCCCTGGCTAGAGTCACCAAAGGTTTGTTACTGGGGCGTAGAAGGCAAAGAGCCTTTCCGTTTCTCCAAAACCAGCTTCCCCCAGCCCCAGCTGAGATCCACAGCCTATTTTCAATTCTGCTCGCAATTGTCATCCTGTTTCCTTTGTACCCCACAGAGGACGGCATGGTGACAACCGCAATAAAGAGGCATTTACATTACACCTAGAGGAGCCTCTCCTAGCAGTGAAGCTGATTAGACCCTGGAATGGCTCTTGTGAGAAATGCCTTCCTGGTGTTTTTGCAGGATAGATTCCTTATCATCTCCCTCATCAACAGTATGTGTGGTGGGGGCAGGGAGGGTCCCTCCTGGTTCCACTTGGGATTTAGTTTCATATGTATCTGTGTACCTTCTTCTTTGTATGTGATATGTAGTGTTAATATTTGTATTTTGGCTCATCCTTCAAAAAGCACTCTTTTTTTTAAATTTTATTTTATTATTGTGTGTGTGTGTGTGTGTGTGTGTGTGTGTGTGTGTGTGTGTGTGTACCGTCAAATCGGATCTGACTGGTACAGGAGGGGATTGTACCTCCTTCTCCGGCAGAGCATCTGGTGGATTTGAACCACATACCTCTGCGATTGCAGAGCAGCTTCTTGCCACTAGGCCACCAGAGCTTCCCCCAAAAGCACTCTTTAAAATCATAACCAAGGGGGAAAAAACCCAACAATCCCAAACCAGCTGGTATCAAATTCTCCCTTTTTTTTTCTCTTTGTGATTATGAGGTTTATTAAGAAATTTAACAGGTTGGAAACAGGATACAATTCTTCAGTCAGGGCAGCTGCTCACAGGCCCATGGCCCATCAGCCTCTAGGCCTTAGGTCAGTGTTACAGAGCTCTCTTGTTGTTACGTGCTGTGGAGTCAACACAACTCACAGCAACCCTATAAGCAGCAGCTCTGAACCTTCCCCCGTCGAGCTTGAGCCCACTGTTGCAATCATTGTTTTCAATCCATCTTGTTAAGGGTCTTCCTTTCTTTAACTTTCCATTTCCCCCCCCCCCATAATAATGTTTCTGCCTCCCCACCAATCATGGCATCTCCTATCTCCCTGCTCCCTCTGGTCCCCCAGCAAGAATGGTTGAGGGTCCCTGGCTCTGACTCTGTGGACTAGCTATTCCAGCTCACCTTTTTCACATCCATCTCCGATTCTCTGCTGTTGCTACTGAGAGGTCTCCATCTCTATCTATCTCCATCTCACAAAGGGATCTCTGATCCCAAAGGATGCCCACTGCATTCTTTTCTTCTTTCTTGCTGGTAATGAGATGTCCCCTATTGAATGACTCCTGATGACTCTGTGCACCTGAGTGAGGAGGCAAACCATTGTAGAGTTTTCAAAGTTGTGACCTTTTGGGGAACAAATTACTCCTTTCTTTCTACCATAGTCCACCAGGTTTGCTGGGTTAGGTGCCATCAAACCTGCTCTGGCTCATAGGTAATAATTGTTTCATTGAATTTTTCTGTCATGCTGATTTTGCAAAAAGAAACGCAAAAGTTGGGAATTGTGATTGATTTTTTATAAATTGCATTATAAATCTGTCAAATGAGTTTGTTTCTTATTTAAGGATCTGTAACTTACAGAATCTAATTCATCCCCATGCTAACGAGCAAGCCAATAAAGTTGAATGGTATCCATTATATGGTATTTAGGAAGAATTCATCATTACCAGCCTTACCTCCAGAGGGAATAGTACTGTGAACATTGTGTGTCTTGTTAGAATTTCATAGGGTTTATAATGAGCAAGTCTGCTTTAGGCCAACGTGCATCCATATTTGCAGGTTAAGCAAAAAATGGTTTTAAGTGACCACATCATTAACCTCTGAGAAATGAACATCGTGGGAAAATGAACAAAGAAATATTGAACCACAGCACCTTCTGTTAGCAAAATAAGCTCTCCTCATGGTTCATTATAGAGGGGGGAAATCTGGGCATTATGGTTGTAAAAGAAAAAGTAAGATTTCTCTGTTTTTTTCTCTTTCTGTGCTGAGAACTCTAGTGTTTTAAGTACCAATGTTCATCTGTATCTGGACGATAGTTGATACTCTTCCCTTGTTACCCCCCACCAGGTGGCGCCTATGAAGTCAAGCAGCATAGGTTCTTCCGATCCTTAGACTGGAACAGTTTGCTGAGACAGAAGGCAGAATTCATTCCACAGCTGGAATCCGAAGATGACACGAGCTATTTTGATAGTGAGTGTGTTATATGATGTCATTCTTCAGTGGTTGCCTCGTAGAACATCATCTGTACTTTTGATATAAATGTCTGATCAATGGAGAACCTATGAGCTCTACAAGCCTGTGTGTTCTTACACTGAATATTGATTTAAGAAAGAAACACATACTTAAAAGATCTCCATGAAAAGCTGAGTAATTCCCGAACATTTCCCTGCAGCTCGATCAGAGAAGTACCACCATATGGAAACTGAGGAAGAGGATGATACAAATGATGAAGACTTTACTGTGGAAATCAGACAGTTTTCCTCATGCTCACATAGGTTTTCCAAGGTAAGTGAAATTGGGCATAATGATATAGTATCTCTGGGAGAATCTCCCCCAGGCCAGTTGGTTGGTACCACTAAACAATGGATGAAATCCTAAAAACAACCTACACTTTTTGGAAGTAAGAGTCTCCTGTACTTAAAATTCCTTTTTGTTTTAAGGAAGAAAAAAATCCAGAACACCTCATTGTTGTAGGAACCAGCTCATCGCAGGTTTTCAGAGGCTGTAAATCACACAGTAGGAGATTACCTATCTTCCTCCTTTGAAGCAGCTGATAAGTTCAAACTGTCTGCCCCTTATCCACTAGGCCACCAGAGGTCTCTGTTTTAAGAAAGTGACCTGATAATCTTTATAATGCAGTCTTAATCCTCAAACCTCAGTGGATAGTTATGTCTTTATTTCACTCTCCACAAAGGAGCATCTTTCTTCTTTGAAGATACACACTTGCCTCCATGGCTGTGTCCTTGGAATATATACTAGCTATTTAAAGAATGGCCATGTCTCTACACCCCTCCTTCTGACTCAGTGCTGGGATGTACAAGCAAGCAGCCCATCAATTCCTCCATCTTTTAATCAAGAATGTGGAGAACCAGACCCTTCACATGGTCTTACACAGAAAGTAACATTAAGAAGAGGCTTAGTTCTTGATATAAGTTAATGTGTTTGAGGGATACTTGACTATAGAAATTATATTTAAATTATTAAAGTGCCAGTCGGAGGCTAAGCTCGAGTTTTGCAAACCGTAGAGGACGATACAAAGGTTGCTTGAGAATGATCTCCCTCCCTCCCCAATAACACTAATATTAAAAGCAAGCAAATCAACCAACCTGATAGTTTAGAGATAGGGCAGGGCCATAGGACCCTGGCATAAGCCTAGGGGACATTCTACCACCCTTCGCTCACTATTTTAAGTATCTATAGATTTTCTGTTGCCATGGCATTTTGCATAAGTACTGTGTAGCTTCTCCCCACCCCTATCATTTAGTAACTCTTACTGAAGCTTTTTCAAAGCAGCAACCTAGGGTTGACTGTCCAGAATTGGACAGCACTAACGTTCTGTTTATAGGATGACAGGGAAGTAGGGGTATCCCTGAGGGAGGATGATAGAAAGTCTATCCTGAGCCAAGACAGACGCTTCGAGGACACTGGGTGTGAGAGCTAGACCAGCACCTGTCCCTGACACATCAGAAGCTGACTCATTTTGTCTTTGGAGGCAGTTTGTTTTACTTCTGACTCTATTCTTCGCCTTCCTTTCTCAGGATCTGGGCTTCGAGCCACAGTCTGTAGTTCTGGTGGACTGTGGTATTGTTGTCAGTTGTCATTCTGACTCACACCCCCCAGCATGTACAGAGTGAAACTGCTCCACACAGTTGCCAGGATTATCTTCAGAAGCACTTCTGAGTGGGTTCAGAATGCCCATCTCTCAACTAGAAGTGGAAAACCAGGCAGATTATGGGAGGTTTAAAGGCAATCCGCTAGGGAATTCTGCTGGCCTAGTGGTAAGAACTTGTGTTGCCAACCCAGAGACACACAGTTAGAATCTACCAGCTGCTCTGCGTGAGAAAGAGGGAAGGAACAGTCTCTTTTCATGAACGATGAGCTGTGAGGCAGTTCCAACTCAACAGAATATAACAACAAAGACCATTCCCAAGGACAGCAGCCCCGTGGTTAAGCACTAGGATTTACAGTCTTAGAAAGCCTATTTGGTAGTTCTACTCTGTCCTGTAGAGACACTGCAATATGAAGAGAACAAGATGAAGCTGCCTCACTGAAATCCAATGCATGTCAATGTTGTTTTGGCTGAAAGGCCATTTCCCTGAGAACCGCACATGATTGAATAGGGCAGTAGGGAGTGCTTTCTGTATTTCACAAACCCTTGTTTACTTCCCATCTTTCCTCTGTAACAGTCGGAGTCCAGAGGTCCACTGGGGCCTCCAGTTTGCCTACTCTGTGACCCCCTTCAGAGATCTTAGCATACAAAGCTTTCTGTGTATGTGGTTTATAATCCAGGCAGTGCATCTGCCTTTTTCTGACCATAACTGTACTATATTTTCCCTCTTTCCCTCTTCAAACAAGTGATTTCTTCTTCTTTTCTTTGCAGTCAATTCCAGTTCTTTTTTTGTCCTTCTCAGCCCTGGCTGGTGGCCAGTAAATATCTTTTTTTCCCTGTGATTTTCTTTTCTTGATTGACTTTATGGTTAAAAAGTAAGATGTGCATTGATTCTCAGGACTAGAAATTCCAATACATCTATAGATTTTATTTGCAAGTGCAAAGTCCACATGGCAGTATGGTCAGAATAACTGAGGAATTCATAGTTCCCACTAAAAACAACAACAAAGAATTATCCATTGACCTGTAATCTTGGGATTCAGTAAAGCAGCATTGGAAAAGTGCTTTCTGTGTGCACGGTCCCAATTCAGATTTTAGTTATACTTTTAGGTGGTTTTCCAAAGATTTTTTTTTTCTTCTGACAAATGTTTCAAGAATTTATTAATGCACACTGATTCTTGGCTTTGCAGGTTTTCAGCAGTATAGATCGGATCACTCAGAATTCAGGAGAAGAGAAGGAAGATCCTGGGGATAAAACCAAAGGCACAGCTTTGCCATCCACAGAAACATTAAGCTGGAGTTCCGAGTATTCTGAAATGTATGTGAAATGCCTTGAAAAAGTAATCTGCATAGCAAGCCATTAGAGCAGTGGCACTCTCTCAGACCACCTGGCGTCAGAACCACCTGGAAAACTTGTTGAATCATGAATCCTGGGCCCACCCCAGAAGTTCTGATCTGGTAGCCCTGGGGCAGAGGCTGGGAACCTGTGTCTCTAGCAGATACAGAGGTGATGCTGATGCCACAGGTTCGAGGGCCATACTGAGAATAACAGCTTTGAAGATACCTTGGTTAGACTTTTCCAAGTCCTGTGTATATCTAGTTTCACCTAAGATCTGTGTTTTAACATGATTTCCTAGTGTGTATACATGACTTTGTTTTTTGTTGTTTTTTTTTAATGAAGGCAACAGTTATCTACATCCAACTCTTCTGATACGGAGAGCAACAGGCATAAACTGAGTTCTGGCTTGCTTCCCAAACTGGCCATTTCAGCCGAGGGAGAACAAGATGAAGCTGCTCCCAGCCCCAGAGACTCCCATGAGGAGCCAGAAAAGCCAGTCCTTCCTGCCGAAGAGTGTGCGCAGGAGGAGCCCGAGGCCACCACCCCAGCCAGCACCATCAGCAGCTCCACCCTGTCAGGTAAGCTTGCACAGGGGGAGACCTGCCGCCCACAGCATCTCCAAGTCCAGGGCTCAGCTAGACCAAGTGTTGATGGTGGATAGTTTATACTAGGAAACTGTCCTTGGGCCACACTTCTTAGACAACAATCTCCTTACAAATTAATATTCAGCGTCTAAGACGTGTCCTCAGTGCATAGCCAAACAGCACTTTAATCTGACCTAGAGCCACCCTTAGATAGATGGTCTAGACCATATGGTCTTAGACCATGGATGGTCTTCAGTAGGGTCTTTTGATGGCAGTCAGAACATGCTAATGAATCATGTTCTCTGTCATTGATGCAAAAGCAAGACTTGAAAATTGCATCTAGCTCTAGATTTTAAGTAAAAAATGGAGAAGGTGCAGCCAAAGTGTTCCTTGGAGGCAAAGATAATAAAGATTGGTCTCACATGCTTTGGGCATCTTTGCTAGGAGAGACTTTTCTTTGGAGAGAGACATCATGCTTGGAAAGGTGAAAGGGTGACAGAAGGGAGAAAGACCCTCAACCAGATGGGTTCACACAGTGATTGCAGCAATGGGCCAGAGGGTGAGGTTGCCACAGGTTAGGACAGGGTTCAGGTCATGGTTTGACTCAAATCGAGGGCACCTAACAATAACTAGATTTTAGCATTAAAAGGAGAATATGACAGAGTGAATAAATTGTTAAAACTTTTCTTATAAATTTACCAAATCACCATTGTTGTGTACCATCAAGTTGGAACTGACCCACAACTGACTCTCCATCGGGTTTTCACCCTCCTACAGTGGGTTTTCAGAGGCAGATAATTGCACAGGAGGAGACTGCCCCTCCCTCTCCCACAGAGCAGCTGGTGGCCTCCAACCTCGTGCCTTCAAGATTGCAGTGGAGCTTCTTGCCACTAGGCCACCAGAGCTCCCCGAATCTCCACTAAGGCATAGTATAAAGCCACTTATGGAAATGGATAATTGTTTCTTTGAAGTAATTGCCTTAAGTTAGGAGGCCGTGTTGCAGCAAATAGCCTCTCACACTAAACTCAAGAGGCTTATGCTGTGAATTTCACAAATGCCTGCCCATGCATGTAGGGCTTGGAATTTCTGAGTGGCTTGGGTGTGGGGTCATAAATGCTGACATGATTTCAGTTTAGACTTTATCAGCAAATGGAACTAACTCTACTACAAACAGACGGTGCCTTTCCAGTCAGTGGGTAAATGGAGTAAGAGGCTCCTGAGAAACCTGTGCTTAGTGGAAGTCAGTCTTGACAAGATGTTGGGGTTTTTTAAAAAACATTTTATGTGTCTTTTTTTTTTTGTGGGAAGGACCCCCCCTAGCAAGAGAAGCAGTATCTTCACAAGTTTTTAAAGCTTAATGGATCCTGGAGAGTTGGTGTCTTCACTTGGGAGCCAAACTTTCACTCTCCTCAGAGCAAGCCTTTTAAGTGCATTTAAAATATCGTTTGATTTATATAAACTTTATGTACTGCATATCCTTTTGCAGAGGAAGACAGATTTATGCCAGTTTCTAAAAATAAAGCAGGGAGATAGCTTAAGTTTGCTACAATAAATGTTTTCATTAAACTATATTCAATATGCTATATTTATAACCATGAATGGTTCCAAGATTTTCATGAACAATTTTTAATTGACTGAATATTCATGCTGTAAACATTTTTTTTAATATCTTCATTTCAAGAAAATACATTTTTAGGGTAGACTTACTTCAGCCTACCAAAATGTTTAGGTTTGTGGGCCCTACTTGTGCATATAGTTTATCATGAGGAAAGTAGTGTGAATCTTTAATTATGTCTTCATCTCAGTTCTCCTTCCATGTTGGATAGTTTCACATTTCATGGCTCTGTCTCTCTTGAGAGAAAGGTATAGCTTGAAAAAGTCATTCCTGTGATGCTTTCTGTGCTGTGGGGCAATTCTAATCTGTCCTGTAGGATCCCTCTGAGTCAGAATCGACTTGAGAGCAATGAGCTTTTGTGTTTGGATTGGTTCTGTCTGAAAAAATAATACAACTGATTAGTTTAAGATTTGGGACCATTTTTTATTTTGGTCCTCAAAGCAAATAGAGCTCTCTTACTGTTTTCTATTCCTGTTACAAAGGCCTCTACCTGTTTCTTAGTTATTCTTTTGCTTCAAATGGGAGAGAGTTACCTCCATTTAAAATGTATTCTTATAGTTATTTAGTAAATTAGTCTCTGTCTCTTAGTCTCTTCAGCTTACTCATTATCAGAAATGTAGGAGGCAGAGGGAGAACAGTGTCTGAGCACTTGATTGATTATTTCCATAATTAAAAAAAAGGTCTGCCTGAGTCCTGCCATGGATTTTGATTAATAGATTCAAATCACCTTTCTCTCTCCCCCATACACACACCAAACATAGGCAGACCTTGGGGGCTCTGTAGAATAGAGGGATGAGCTGATTCGCTTATAGCCAAGGGTAATTAGGGAATCTGAAAACCATGACTGTAGTAAAATGAAATTTGTTGATTTTTATATTGCCCCACCATCAAGAAGAAGGAACCCTTGACATTTAGAGAACATTAAGGTGACATTATCTTCCACTGGTAGGAAAGAAGTGCGCATTCATAGACAGTGCTATGAAATGAGACGGCTGAGACAAGAGTGAGGGCGTGATGGAAGGGACGATTGTATATCCATGCGCTGGCATTTAGGGAAGTGCTGCTTTATACATGTTTCCCTTTTCACCCCCATAACGACATTCAGTTTAAATCAATGGAAAGAAAAAGTCTAGAAATCTTAGGTGTAGAAGAGATTCACCTTTTCATTTTTTTACTTATCAACGATGCCTCTCAAACTAAATTAAAAAGGAACAGGAGGAGACCTGGCACAGCAGTCCCCAATTTAGGACAGAGTTCAGTTCTTATGACTGTGTTGGAAGATGGTTCTGACTGAAGTCATAAAAATATTGCCATCAAGTCAGAACTGGCTCACAGATGACCCTCCAGCAGGTCTTCTGGAGGCTGTAAATTGTGTAAGAGGAGATTGCCCCCCTTTCTCCCACAGAGCAGTGGACGGATTTGAACAGCCAGAGAGGCATCCCCTTTGGCTTAACAGTACAACTCCCAATCAATGACAACACGAAAGCTTCCTAAAAAAAGCTTCACTTTGTTCCTAGTGTTCATTATTATTGGGGTTTTTTTATAAGCCTCTTTGTAACCCAAATTTTCCATTGTCCTTGAGTTCATTTCATCAGAAATCTAATACATCGTAAATTGGAATTGCCTGTATTACTAAATGTATAATTTCTCTCAAAGTGTGTTCATGTTTTTTGAGGTGAGATTTAGGTGTGTGCATAAGTACTAGTTCTTCCATCAAGATTACATTGTCCTCCAGCAATATAGTAAGCGCACTATAAAATGTGATAGAGTTTGGCATACATGTGTTAAAGGATTGTTGATATTTGCATAAATTAGTCTTCTGTCATTGGTTAGAATGCTGTCACATCACATGGAAGTCTAGGAATTGTCGCTTCTCTCACAGCTCACTAGGTGGCCAGGAAGTGTGCAGTGTCCACATCTGTGTTCCCAAGTCATGAGTGTTTCTTAGATTTGGTCAGACCTGTCTGACTGTACCGCCTCGTGTGACATAGGGATGGACTTCCAAGTAGACCGTAGAGGTGTATCCAGCACAATGACACAAATCTAGTGAAGTTGAACTCAATCTAGTTCTTTGTTGGGCAGAGTTCATAAGGTCTGCCCTTTATAATATGCTGGCTGGTCTTTCAGAAGTCATTTATGGTGGTATTGGTATTAAATTCTCTACATGAATTGCATGTCTTAAGGTGATGATTAAGCTGAGGATTTTTAAAGCTGTTGTTGTTATGTGCCTTTGAGTCGCCTGCGACCCATAGCCACCCTATATGTACAACAGCCCTCAGCACTGTTCTATCCCTTGCCAATCTTATTGTTTTTGACACATCTATCCCCATTACTCCAGTCACTGAATTAATCCACCTCGTCAAGGGTCTTCCTCTCCTGCAGTGTCCCTTCACCTCCCAAGCATGATGGCCCTCTCTCCAAGGGCTAATCTCACCTTTTAAAGCTTCTTATTGTTGTTGTTAAGTGTCATTGAGTCATAGACGACTCATAGCAACCCTATGAACAAAAGACCTTAACACTTGTATAAGTTTCATCGTTTCTCCAATTTCATAGAGCTTCTGGAGGCAAGCTATTTTGGAAGTGGATGCCACTCCTGCTTCCAAGCTTGTTATAATTGGGGAGCTCCACCAAGCCCTGTCCACAATGGGTAACCATTATCACATTTGACACATCAGTGTCAGTGTTCAGCATCACAGCAAACATCAGTTACCTCTATATAGCAAATAGACCAGTGCTATACCACCTAGAAGAATGTTTGACCAAAACCAATTAAAACCAGGCCTGAGGGCCACAGATTAAAATCACCCACCTTTGGCTTGGTAGCATCGCTTTCTGTCCAGTGGGCCAACTGAAAGCTCTCTTAAAAGCTTAGCAGGCTAATCATGTATCAGATAGAAGTAAAAACAATATGAGCATTGGGCGTCTTCCCCCCAGGGTAGACAAAGATGTGTTATCAGTAAATAAAAATAAATAAAATAAAACTGACAGCTTATGAAAATAAAAGTAGGAGGGAGACAAGGGTGGCTGCTGAGCTTCAGGAGTCCTTTGGGGCCTCGCCATATACATCTCTACTTGGGAACTTTCTTTACTATTTGCCTCTTCAGCCACCAGGCCAGCATCGTTGGTTCTCCATTTCTGCTTCCTCCTACTTGGTTATCATACTCTTTACTGGTCCTTTGGTGAGGAGAGCCCTAAATTTTTACTTAAAACATAACTCCAGTTTATGTACAAGGGTTAATAGAGTTAAAAAATAAAATTTGACTTAGCAGCAAAGGAATCTTCTCACATCCCGTAATTTCAGAAAGGAGCAACATCTACCTAAGTCTAGATTAATGACCAGCACCACGAATGAGCTGCTGCATAATGTATTATGTGATATCCTTTGTCTCTTCTCACTGAATTTATAAGGAACGTAGAGGGGAAAGCAGCACCTAGTGTGAGAAGTGAAGGGACACACTTCTGGGTAAGTTGTGTATCGGAGCCTTGTATGCGGTGTGCCCGTGGAAGATGGGAAAAGATGACATAGCTATTAGCCCACATGGAAGGTTAGCTGTTGTCCTTGTATTAAGAACTACTGTTGCCAACACTGAGTAATGACAATAATCATAGTTTAAAGTGGGTGCTTGTGGGGTTCATAAAGTAATTTTGGCTCATTTCATGGCCTCTCAGGTGTGGTGAAAAGAGTTTTCTGCATAATGGTTGTGGAATACTGATTCTAGAATGTCATTATGTATGGTTCTTGTCTGTGGCCACCACCCATCTGTTAAGCTGTTGTTTTGTGGTGGCTTTCATGAAACCAGACCACTAGCATTTCACATGCCAGCAGGGTCACCCAGTGTATACAGGGTTCAGAAGAAACTCCTAGCTTAAGACAGCCTAGGAAGGAAGGTCTGATGATTGACTTTCAATGATTAGCCAGTGAGAGCTCTATACATCACAATAGAATATTGTCAGACATGGGGCTGAAAGATGAGGTCCCCTAAGTGGGAAGTCAATCAGAATATACGGTGGGTCTAACAGTGAAGCTGAGCATACCATCAGTTGTAAAGATGGTACAGGGCTGGGCAATGTTTAAAATCTCACAGCAGTAACTTGTATATGATAGAACTGGGCAATGTTTCAAAACTAACTGCGACAATTTGTATATGATAGGACACGTTGCCTTTCAATTATATAGGGGATTATAGATTGAGAATTATTAGATGTGTACCATTCCAGCAAATCTTGAGTGGCGACCTCTCCTATTCTTCCTCCTTCATTCATGTCACCTGTCTCAAGCCATCTATGTGTTTGTAATGTTCGCCTGACACTCCATGAACTGACCAACCACGTGGGAGTGAGTTTCTCAGCTTCTGCCTTTTCTTTGCACCGGTGTTCCCCTCCCACCTCTCCTGTCCTTGGTTTTCTTGAACATGTTTATCCCTTCTTCTTTGTACAGTTGGCAGTTTTTCAGAGCACTTGGATCAGATCAATGGACGCAGCGAGTGTGTGGACAGTACAGATAACTCCTCAAAGCCCTCCAGTGAACCTGCTTCCCACATGGCTCGGCAGCGATTAGAAAGCACAGAAAGAAAAAAACTCCCGGGCAAAGTCACAAAGTCCCTTTCTGCCAGTGCCCTGTCCCTCATGATCCCAGGAGGTAGAGCGACATCGACTTGCATGCAGTTGTGTGATTTGTGCATGTGGTCCTCTTCCCCGCGCCCCCAACTTGGAATGCTGATTGAGATGCAGAATTGCTTAAAAGCAGGAATGGGTGGCATCCCAGCCCAGCTTCTCAGAGCTTCTGGTGTTAGGCCTCAGACCTCTCGCTCAGAACCTCCTCATGCCCCGAAGAGCATGTGCTTCTATTTCATCTCTCTTTTCACGCCTCAGGAAATAGGCAAGAAGACTCTTTTCTACAAAGTTTATTTCTTTAGTCTTTTTTTTTTTTTCTCTTCAAGTTACGTGATAAATTTCTCTCTTCAGTATAATTTTTCTTCCCCATAATGTGTCGTTTCTATACCTTACAGAGCTGTTTTCAGTATCTGTATAAAAAAAAGCTAAGTGTGGTTGTTTTCTTTTTTCTACCATCTTCTAATTAATGAGTATATAGACACAGAGAATGTAAGCTTTTCCTTTTTAGGGATACGCCAAGTGAGAGACAGCCTTGAAATTATGTTTTCCTAACCCAGTCCATTGAGTTATACCTCCTCCTACTGGTGATCAAATTATTTTCCATCTAGTACTAGAAAACTGAATTTAATTATGTTTTATTAAATGATAATATTTTTCCAAAACCTGTGGTTTCCTCTTCTAAGTCTGTAATAATTTCATTAGTAGAGATGAAATACACCACCCTGGTATTATAACTTATCATTCAAATAAGACCAAGAGAAGTGAAGTTGGAATTGAATTGTCTTGAAAAGATTTGTATTTGAGATACGGACCACATATAAAAGAGAATGTTTACATCTTTAAAAATTCATCTTTTATTTTGGTAGAAAGAAATTTGATCTAAACAAATAGTCATATGTGGGTAGTGTTTGCTATAGGAGATCTAGTTTTCTGGGGGACATCCAATTTAGTACCATAAAATAAACACTTAATTTCTCCATTTGAATAACTGTTTATAAGTCAAAGACACAGTGAGGAAATTAAGTTTGAAATAATTCAGTCTACTTTTGAAGGTTGGTGGAAGAGTCCAGACTTCAGCAGAGCAGGGAAATTATTTGCTTTGTGGAGGTGAGAGAGACTGTCACAGTGGAGGGAGTAGGGACATGGATGCAAGTGCCCACACTGTTGCTCTCCCTGTCTGCATGCTGGAAGTTTCCTGCACACCAGGGTGCAGCTCATCACCTGCCACTTTGATCAGACTGAAGGCAGCCAGCAAAAGAACCTACATGTCCCTGAAATCAGAGAGCAAAGGTTCACAGGCGATGAGACATTTAGCTTTAGCTTTGTTCCATTTTGAACACATAGAGGAATTGTACAAAGGTAGGAGTACGTTTGGCTTATTGTGGCCACCGTGAAACTTGCCATCCTTTTGGGAGTTTTTCTTCATTACTGCAGGGCAGTTTGTGGCCTTTCTCTGACTGGACTCCCCTTTCAGCCTCAGTATCTTTTCATATTTTTTTTTTTTTTCAGAATCTCTCTCTCACACACACACATACACAAAGAGAGAGTTTTAATGTCTAATTAACACCTGTTTAGATTCATGTAGGTATAATGTTGATACGAACTACAAATTTAAAGTATTCTTCATTCTAAGACAAGGAAAACCCAAGTAGAATTAGTGTTTTGAATATGAACTGAATTTTTCTTAAAATGTCTTTACAATCCATACCTGCATTGTCCTCTTTCTTATAAAGCCTATTATTAGTAGTGCAAATAATATGTGAAAAGAATCAGTTGTTACCATAGTAATAAGGAGTTTCTCTGAGAAGTCACCATTTAATGTTATGGTTTTTTTCTTATCAAAATCATCTAATCAATACAAGCTTGATAGCTTCCTAAAAAGCAGCTGATTGACTAATAAATTCCTTTCCTGGCTACATATGTTTGAAAAGCATCATGTTAAAACTGTCCAGGCAAGATATGGAGTCTGAGAATCTTTCACATAGGCCATACAGGGTGAGGATGTATTTGAAAAAAAGACACTAGCCAGTCTTTGTACTTCTTAATTAGCATCTAGAACATAAAGGGGGAAAAAATAAGCCTTAGAGAATTCATTGGAAAGTTAGTTAAACAATATCAAAGTTTCCTTGACAGTCTTCTGTTTCGAAGCCCAGATTAGTTACAACTATAAAGTAAACCCTTTTGTATCACTTCTTTTTGTTCTTTTTGATTTGGGTATTGGAATAGATGTGTTGTGTGACCAGGCTCCCATCCCTGAAAAGCTAACGTGGTGTTGATTGCTGAAGGCATGTCTGTGAGACCAGGGGCAGCTTTGACCACAGGTCTTTTTGTTGCAGACATGTTTGCTGTTTCTCCTCTGGGAAGTCCAATGTCTCCCCATTCTTTGTCCTCGGACCCTTCTTCATCACGAGATTCTTCTCCCAGCCGAGATTCTTCAGGAGCATCTGCCAGTCCTCATCAGCCCATTGTGATCCACAGTTCAGGGAAGAACTACGGTTTCACTATTCGAGCCATCCGGGTCTACGTGGGAGACAGTGACATCTACACTGTGCACCATATTGTTTGGGTAAGGCCAGTAATTTCTCAGACCTGTGGCATGACTTCTCCAGCCAAATCAGAGAATGAAGCCCATTTAATCTCAAGGGTACTTCCTGTTAAACTGTATTTGGGGCTGGTTGAATTTTGCTTTTGGTGCTTTTTATCTATGTGGTGGAATGAAATCCAGAAAAAAACTAATTTTTTTTCTTACTTATGCCAGATTTTCATATTGAACTGTCTACTTTTATACTCTAAGCTGGTAAAAATAGTCAGAGAGAATCTTATTGCCATCCTTCTTTCATTCTCATTTTTTTTTAGTTCTTTTTTTTACAAAACTACCCTGTTTTAGATTGATGACAGATTAAAAACAGGACTATACCTTCTTGGTTTTCCATTAAGATCTCAGGATCACTTGCCAGTCATCTCAAGGAAATGGTAGATACTAGGGCCATCATTTCTTCTATATATGTGTTCTCCTTTTTGCCTTTAGAATGTGGAAGAAGGAAGTCCAGCATTTCAGGCAGGACTGAAGGCTGGGGATCTGATCACACACATCAATGGAGAACCAATTCATGGACTTGTCCACACAGAAGTTATAGAACTCCTTCTAAAGGTATTGTCCTTTTTTACATCATGACTGACAGATTAGATGTTCCCTTAACTCCAGCCAACTTTCTCACAAAACACATGCTATTTATCATTGAAGGGGTGGGACTTATCACTGAAAGGATATTAGAGTCATCAGCAATGTTGGACTACCTCCGATAGTCAAGCTGACCATATGGCAACCTTGAGATGAGATTTAGAATTACTATTAAAGTTCCATACAAAATCCTAGCACATGGTTGATGTTGTTGTTGTTGTTGTTACGTGCCGTCAAGTCGTTTGCGACTCATAGCGACCCTATGTACAACAGCCCTAAACCCTGCTCTATCCTGTGCCAATCTCATTGCCTCTGACACACCCATCCCGATTACCCCAGTCACTGAATCAATCCACCTCATGAGGGTCTTCTCCTCCTGCACTATCCCTCCACTCTGCCCAGCATGATGTCCCTCTCTAAAGACCTGTCTCTCCTTACAACATGTATGCACATGGTTGATAGATACTAAAATAAATGATTTAACCATGAGATTATCCTCTGCTTGCTATCCAGAAGTTACCATGCGACACGTCAAGTGCTTTAAATCTACTTTTATTGTATCTTGACTGACTGCTCAATGTACAAACCATTAAAAGTAAAAGCCTGAAGATGACTGAAGCCAGTCTACAATTCTGCTGTATTATTACTAATTAGAAACAAGTGATACCTCTGTACCTACATGAATAAGAAGGGTTTTTTGTTGTTGTTTTTTAGTTTCATTTTCTATCTCTGTTAAATTCTGTCTAACTGGAGTGTTCTAGAAATGGGAGGTAGATCAGAACTGTTACCTTTAATTATCCCTTGACTGCAAAATTCATGTAATACGGCCTCAGTTCCTCCAAGGCAATATTCAAGAAAAGATAGATTCATGAATCTTCCTAGCTTCATCACACACATCTGTGTGTGTTTGTGTTCTGGTGTTATTTCACTAGTGGATCAAAGATCTGCTCATAGTAAAGAAAGGTCCAGGAAAAGTTTTTGGTTTTCCTCCTTGGCAGAGAATCTTGAATATGCCATTGTGGTGACACATCTACCCCCATTACCCCAGTCACTGAATCAATCCATCTCATCGAGAATCTTCTCTCCTGCATTGTCCCTCCACCCTCCCAAGCATGACATCCTTCTCCAAGGACTGGTCCCTCCTTGCAACATGTCCAAAGTATGTTAGATGAAGCTTCAGAATCCTTGATTCCTAAAATTGGAACGTCCAAGGAGCAGCCTGGTTTAACCCTTTCCACGGCAAACCTGTTTGTTTTACTAGCAGTTCATGGTATATTCAATACTATTCTCCAGCACCGCAGCTCAAAGGCATTCATTCTCCTTCAGTCATCCCTAGTCATTGTCCAGCTCGCTGATGCACAGCAAGTGATTGCAAAGACCATGGTCTGTGTAAGGTGGACCTTAATCTCCAGACTGACGTCATTGTTCTTCAGTACTCTGGAAAGGTCTCTGACAATAGACTTTCCCAATGCAATATGTCTTTTAATTTCCTGGCTGCTGGTGCCAAGAATGTTGAATGTGGAGCCAAGCAAAACTAAAGCTATTTACAATCTCAATCCCTTCACCATCCATCATGATGCTACCAATCGGCCCAATGGTGAGAACCTTTGTTTTCTTGATATTGAGCTTCAATCCATATTGAAAGCTGCAGTCCTTGACCCTCTGCAGCAAGCACTTCAGGTCCTCCTCAGTTTCAGTACATATTTATATGTATATACTTTTATATACATATAAAATATGTGTATATATTATATATATTTGCATTAGTTTATTTTTATTAAACATACTAATGTTCATTATTTCACTCAGGATGCATTGTAATATGAATTTGGATTTCAAAACTTCTCTCTTCCTGGATAGTTTGGAAGCTGATTTCCCCTTCAATTGGCAGAAGCCCCATACCGGATTGGCTGTTCCCATTTTTACATGTTGTTTTCATCTGGCTGCATGGAACCTGCTAAAAGCTAAGCCCTCCTTCTTTGCTTTAGTCCATAAGATTAAATAGTCACTGAAATTGCCTACATACCCTGTAGAAGAGAGCAGCTGGCTCCCTTCGAAACCAGGGTGTGCCCTGTCAAAAATCCAAGCAGAGGATCTGGCCTCTGGTTCATACAGGAAACACTCCAGAGAAGTAACCAGTGTAATGAAACAAAGAGGATACAAGGGACTTAATTATATTCTCAGTGAACTGTGTAATCGGGCTGCTTGCTTCCAAATTTAGCCAGCAATTCTTGAACACAGAGTGCAGAGTGACTGGTACCAACACCGGGCTTCCATGTTCCATCAGTTTTCCTGAATGCTGTTCACATGCAGCTGGATGTTTGCAAAACCTTTCATAAAAACTCATGGCTCTCAGAAAAGGTAGAAAAACCCATCAAATAGGGCTGCATGTACATACAAATACAGGTATAATATTTATACTTTGGATTATGAACATAGTGAGCATTTTTCAGGTTTCGTGACTTACTATGGTCTCATCTACTTTCATTACCCAAATTGAACCTGATAGGCAAGGGCTGACTTCCATACCTTTCTTTACCTGCACAGGAAAGCTTTCCTAAGGTCACATAGCTTCCTAGGCCCAAAGAATGATAAAATCTCGTTTATCTAGTTCACTACCTCATTGCAATGTGAATCACTCAAAAATACATTCCTTCAGCTTTGACTCATAACACCTCAATTCTACTTTTAGAAAACATCAGTTTTTCTAAATTAAGTGACTTAATGACTCAAAATTTACTCCATTTTGGAGGCAGCATTGTCTTATTCATCACCCCTCCTTACCTACCAGACATAACGTCTGTGATCCAGGAGACTATTCTATTCAGATCTCTTGCTTTCTGAGTGTAGCATTAGTTGAAATCCACAACCACCCCACAAGAGGAGCCCTAGAACTTTACTAGCCTCTACTCCAGAAATGTTCTTTCCTTAATCTCTAGGAAACTTCTGGATTTTAAGATGGGGACCATCAGAGACATCATTTTAACCATCCTCATTCCTTGAGCCCCTGATGTGTGAAGAGCATTGCCCTGGGGACTGCCAAGGTTGCATAGCACATGACACATGAGAACAATTGCTAATAAAGAAAAGGTGCTCTTGTCCCTATTTGACTCTGTTCTAAATGCTTTATTTATGAGGTGAACCATGTAATACTCAAAATTGTCCTGTAAAAATAGTTTTAAAAAATTCCCCTGTAAGTTTGTTGTAGTGTATTGTCAAGTCAGAGCCAATTCACTGCCCACCCTCCTAGTTGGTTTTCAGAGGCAGTCAGTCATGCAGGAGGAAATTGCCTATCCTTTTCCCGTGGAGCAGCTAGTGGATTCAAACCATGTGGTTTTGGATTAGCAGTACATTTCCTTACCACTAAGCCCTCAGAGCAAGTGTCTGGGAAAGCTAAAAGGCAGTAGTACAAGGTTTTGTCCTAAGAAAGAGCCAGTTAAGGGTTGAACACAGGCAGTGAGTCTCTCTCTAGATCCTTTGCTCTCACAGAGTATGCTGTACTATTCTACACAGGTAGGCTTTGTGAACCTTGTAATGGGCCCTTCCTACAATGGTCATTTAAGGTTCACTGTTCATGAGGGAGAACAGTGGCTATACTAAGATACCAATAAAGTGCTAAGTATCAGTAGGGAGCTCTGGTGGCCTAGTGGTAAGAAGCTGTGCTGCAATCATGAAGGCACATGGGTTGAATCCACCAGCTGCTCTGTAGGAGAAAGATTGACAGTCTCTTCCCATATGATTTACTGCCTCTGAAAACCCACTGGAGGGTCAGCTTTAGGTTAGTTCTGACTCGACAGTACTCAACAATGACAACAAACATCAGTAGAAGATTGCAAATGCTGAAGGTGTTCGAAAGGAGGAATGCCTTTCAAACAGGGTAGGAAGAGGTGGCTTTGGAGATGGCATTGTCTAAGCAGGATGGCTTGGTTGGAGGAAAGCAGGAAAGAATGATTGCAGATTCAGTATGTGGCAAGGGTATACAAGAAATTCTAAGAATGAACATGATGTGTAAAAATGCAACGAGAAGGGAGGCCTGGGAGTTTTCAGTGCATGAGTGCACCAAAGTGGGTTCATATATAGTGGTGAAAAGTGTAGGAATACCATGGCTGGATCCTGAAGAATATGAATTAGGGCTAAGACACAGGTATACTCGTAGAACATTTTCTCCATCTGCTTTTTAAAGAGGAAGAGATGAGTAAACAATCTAACTCACCGAGTTACCCATGACCAGCCAGTAAGCCAACATATAACCAGACTGAGAAAAGAAAGTGAATGTGCTGATTACTGCTGTTCTGATTAGTTCAGCCACCTTAAAGTAATTTCTTCCCCACTGTGAACTAATTATACAGATAGTGCAAAGTAATAGTAAACTAATTGAACATCCACAATGTTCTGGCCCCATTTTTTTTTCTTTCCTCTACAAATGATGCAGAATTTCTGTAATGCAGAATAAGCCACTCATTCTTCTAAAGAAGTTCACCCATAAGCCAACCCCTTATACCAACCACCCTGAGCAAAGTTCAGGTAACACTTGCTGTGTTGATTGGGACCACCAGGTGGCAGGCTTCACAATTCTCACCTATTTTTTCTGACATTTAACATTACTCATTAGTGTTTCCTACCAAATGTTCTCACTCTGCATCCTTTGTGTCTGCATTGCTTCTTAAGGAAGCTGCATTGCTGTGCACTTCTGTAAGTCAAATCAACTGTCCCCTGGAACCCTTATATTTAGAATCAAGAGGCTTGGTTTCAGTTTTTGTAGAGGAAAGAGACATTTGTACAGAGGCCAGTAATGCACTCTGATTTAGCAAGCCTCTATTTTCTGATGACAAGTGTTTCATATTTATAAAATATTTATATTATACAATGCTAAAGCTGTTGTTCTGATTCTTAATGCCTTGTTTACATTGTGATACTTTTGACACTTTATCCAGTCAGTGAAGTCCCAGGGCCACTTGTTATATGCAACA